GCTTGGGGCCGGGACTGTGTGCACCGCAGAGGCGGTGGTTCTGCTGATCCCCGCCTTAGTTTGCCGTTTGGTAACCCGAGTGCGGGTCCACCAGGAACTGAGCCGAGGTTCTGTGGGTCCGGCCCTTGCTGGGTCGGCACCCCAGGGTTCTCATGGCTTGCTGGAGTCGGTACGATCTGTTTGCAGTTGAATGGTTTCCATTGGCGTGAATGTATTTTCCCTAGCTGGTGGTTTCGTGACCATTCATAAAATGAAAGTCTTAATCAGTGTGTTGACCCGGTTAATATTTGTCAGAAAATGTGGCAGTTTCGTTTCCGTGTTTGGGAACAGGTTTTAGGTTGCAAGCTGCTATTGAGAACCGGGCTAGCCTTTTGTTTGAAGAACTTTTTCTTAGGGATAATAGTGAAAAGGAAAAACAAAACAAAACAAAAACCCTGCCCGGCCATCTCGCTATCAAAGTCTCTCAAAGGTAGATGTAGTTTTGCAAGATGTTTCCAAAGCTGGTATGCGTAGACCATAGTGATAAAAAATAGACTTAGGTAAACTCATAGATGACTCTTTTTATCTGAAGAAATAGGATGAGGAAACCTTAGATGTTGATGGGTGACATGTGGCGAGTTTATTGTGCTTGAGATTGGATCACTGAGAATTTATTGAGCATTTACCACAAAAGAGAAGTAAAATGAAGCTACAGACGCCGTCCTTCGCATTAAAGTTTGGAGTGGAGAGGCGGGAGAGAAACCAGCTCTTTAGAATTTAAAGTAAGTGGCACCTTGCCATTGCCTCCTGGTTCTGCAACTACCTCTCTGATGTACTTTATAAATTTTTCCTCCTCTGTGGATCCTTTATTCGCAGCACTCCATTTGGTGTTGTTTGATATTATATCTTAGGTCACCTGGTCCCCGTCACGGACTTAACCTGTCAGCTGTATTATATACAAAGCACTCCCAGATGGCTATCTTTATGTTGGATCCTTCTAATAGTGTCTATTTGGATTTCACACGAGTGCCTTAAATATGTCCTAAAATAGACTTGGACACCTTTATCTTATCCTGATAGCAGGTTTCTCCCCACTCATCTGTTCTTCAAATAATGTCACCCCACTGCCCTTCCTTCCATCTACACTATTGCTCTGGCATATGGACTCAACCTCCCTGAGTATCTCTCAGACCCACCTGTTGTAATTCTCACTCACCCTTCAAATGATGGTTTTATCTCCTAACTCATTTCTCACTCCAACCTCTCTAACATGAAAATGACCACAATACCCCCGTTAGGAACTTTTTCAGACACCTTCCTTCCATCATCTGCATTGCCCTTCATGATCTTACCCCAATATTGGTAACCTCACCTGACATTTCCCTATTTTCTGCCTGCTCACTATTCTAAAATCCCCCACTGTTCTGCCATCCTACCAGGCCCTCATGATCACCTCAGTCTCAACTGGATACTATCTTTCTTCCTTAGACCTTTTCATAGCTTCCTGAGACAACCCCCCCCCCCCCATTTACCCTTTTTGGACATACTTCTTTTCTTTCTTTCTTTCTTTCTTTCTTTCTTTCTTTCTTTCTTTCTTTCTTTCTTTCTTTCTTTCTCTCTCTCTCTCTCTCTCTCTCTCTCTCTCTCTCTCTCTCTCTTTCTTTCTTTCTTTCTTTCTTGTGTTTCGAGACAGGGTTTCTCTGTGTAGCCCTTATTGTCCTTGGAACTCACTCTAGAGCAGGCTGACCTCAAACTCTCAGAGATTGGCTTGCCTCTGCCCCCCAAGTTCTGGGCTTAAAGGTGTGTGTCATCAATGCCGACTAACATATTTCTATTATGGCAGTTATTTTTCTGATTCTCTTAAGTACTAACTGGAAGAACGACTGTGACAGTCATTCTTGAGAAGTATATTATGAATTGGGGAAAGCAAGCAGTCTGCCTCTGTTTCTGATTTAGAGATTACAGAATGTTCCTCAGTTTGCACTGCTCAAGAATTTGACCAAATCCTGACTGTACACATTTTGTCATACAGTCTCAAACATTGAACAAATTTTAGTATAACTAAGTACTGACCTTTAAAGGATAGTATTGTTGCAGCTCCCCATTGAAGCATCAAGAGAAAAGAGCCTGAAGCAACACAAAAGAACAAGATCCAGACTGTTCCCAGAAAAATTTGTAGTTATCGAGGTCGCAGTGTGGACTGTACATGTACTGACTCAGAATTAACTATTTCTATTTGAGAAGTCTGTGTGTGTGGTGGGAGTTAGATTCAAACCGTCCCTGAGTGAGCAGACCTAAATTATGAAAAACAATCCTTACCTCATTGGTTAAGGGATCATAAAAGGGAGTAGCTTTTCAATGATCTAGTATCCTAGACCATTCAGGCAAAGTCCAAGTGAACTGCACAGTACCAGTGTAACTCTATTATTATGGGTTGATTATAACTCAGACTGAGGAATACACTACCCTGTGGCTAGATTCCTGCCTCTGTTGACTTGTAGGAGTAGCAACATTCTGTCCTGAGCAGCTGGGATCCAGTAGTTCCTGGAAGTCTTTAATAGTTATAGGTGTGGTAAGTCTTGACAGAACTGGGTGGAGTAGCATGAAATGTGGTGTCGAAAAGTAACAGCTAAAAGAATGACTCAAAATAAGTTACTAGACAAAACCCTCTTTTCCTCTAAATGCGTTCATGAGGAGATCTGACACATAATTATATATTAACTAAGCCCTAGACAGTAGGAACTATATTTTTTCACTGTAGCTTTAGGGCATAACTGAGTACTTGGCTGCTGTGGATATTGTTCTGTATAAATAAAACACTGATTGGCCAGTGGCCAGGGAGGAAGTATAGGTGGGACAAGGAGAGAGGAGAATTCTGGGAAGTGGAAGGCTGAATCAGGGAGACATTGCCAGCCTCCTCCATGACAAGCAGCATGTGAAGATGCCGGTAAGCCACGAGCCACGTGGCAAGGTATAGATTTATAGAAATTGATTAATTTAAGATATAAGAACAGTTAGCAAGAAGCCTGCCATGGCCATACAGTTTGTAAGCAATATAAGTCTCTGTGTTTACTTGGTTGGGTCTGAGTGGCTGTGGGACTGGAGGGTGACAGAGATTTGTCCTGACTGTGGGCCAGGCAGGAAAACTCTAGCTACACTTGGCCCTGGTGTTTGGCAAGTGTACATTTAGTGAATGGAATGAAGAGTGTTAGCTGATTTTGTTTCTCAGAACAGAGACAGCTGTTTGGACAAAAATTAGAGCTACTGGGGATGCTTGAAGGAAGAGATGTGCCTGTTCAGAAAAGCAAATTTTAGAAACAGAGTAAGGCTAGTGTGGGGTTGATGTAATGGGAAGCCTTTGTAAGTTCTTGAATGGTATGATTAGTTTGTAGTATGACTAAGAATTATCGGGGAAACTAAAGTAAAAAGAAAAATTTCAGAACATGACTTAGGGATGAGCCTCCTAGAGAAATCTAGTCAAAACCATTTCCTCCACACACATCACAGTGTTTGTGACATAGCCCTTTCCTAGATTTCCTCCTACTTCAGCTTTTCTCGATCACTTTACAAGGCTTTAAAACAGTTACTTCCAATTATATTTGTGTATATATGTGCACATGCTATATCATGTGTGTGGAGGTCAGAGGACAACTTATGCAAGTCTGCTCCTTCCATCATGTGGATCCCAGGAATCGAACTTGAGTCATCTGTCTTGGCAGCAAGTGCCTTTACCTGCGCTCTCTTGCTGCCCTCTCTCAATCTGCTTTAAATGATGATATCAGATCTCATTTATTCTCATGGTTTTAAATCCATTTTCACATAAGCCATCAAACTAGTCTATTTAGAGTGTATTCATGTTCCCAACTTAAAATTGTTCAATGATTTATCATTTATATGAAATAAAATACAAAATTCTTGCCAATGCCCACAAACCCCTGATCTCTTTACTTCCCTAACAATATCTTGGTATCTCCTACTAGCCAATAACTTTTCATTCTTTATTTCCTGTGTACATCTCAACTGTGATATTTGACTTTATTTCCTATGTACTTCTCTCCTATGGGATATTTAGTGATGACGAGAACAGTTTTGGTTGTGATGGTTGGAGTCAAGGATGCTACTAAACAACATAGGACAAGATAGCCTCCCATGACAAATAATCACCCAACCCTAAATAAAAATTTCCTGCTTTTAGTAAAGATTCTTTCTACTTAATCACAGGATGGGCATAATCCTAGGTGGGATATTTTTACCCCTTTCTGTTAGGCAATTAGTGGGCCAGTGATTCTGCCTCCTTCCCAGCAGTTTTCATAGAATTTGCAGGAAAGGGCCTTTTCTTCTCTGACTTCAAAGCAATATAGACATACACTGGAAGCTACTGCAGCAATGTCCCTTGGTATTTGGTTGTCACTAGCCTAAAAGAATAAGGTGAGAAAGAGCCCCTGAGAGTTATCTTTCCCCTTTCAAAGAAGTCAAGGGTTGAATATTCATTGGATGCCCAAATGTTTTGATAAACACAAGAAGGTCAAATTCAGTATCCCTGGCATCTTACATAGCCTTCTTTGGTTTAAACACCATTGGCTCTACACCCAGTTTCTCCAAAGATCTGCTATTCCAAGGAAATTGTCTGATAAGACACCAAGTGATTTAAACTGTGGCCTCCTTAAGTTTTGCTGATTAGTTAGCTTAGCCAATGTCATATTCTTACGTTGTTATTCTACTGTGAAACATTCTGATTTCCTTATCTGTAAACCTGGAATGAGAAATAAACACATGATGTCATTTGCTAATGCTCTAGATAAAAGCAACTATTTAGGACTACGTTGTATTATGACCATTAGTGCTGTTGTTCTGATTACCAATACTGTGTTGCCTGATAGTATAACACTACAAGAAGTTAGGTGCTGTTTTCCAGCAATATGCCCTCGGTTCAGACTCTCATTCATGTAAGGATCTGTTCCCTTCTAATTGAGAGAAGGGAACCCATTTCCTTTTTATGACTTTCTAACTCTTTTTTTTTTTTTGAGTTTTTAATAGACATTTTATTTTCAATAATATTAAACAAAGTTTATCGATAACACAATAAACATACTTCAGTCAGCTTTTTCAAGCCCAAAGAATAAGACCTGAATTACAATTTATATTTTGCTTCACATACTACAAACTCCATCCATGTCGATGTGGAATTTTAATCCTGATTGATACTGTTGGTTTCTTGTGAGGATAAACTCTGAACAGCAACGAAATCCTTAGTTTTTGCTCTCCAACCACTTTTCTTGATCACCCTCTCTAACTCCATATAATCCAGACCGTTCAATGGATTTGTAATAAACTTCCAAAACGAAGGGAAATGTCTTGCTCATTGTTTGCCTGAAATCTTGGCTGGAGTTCATCTTTCTAAACAAAACATAAGCTCCAAAAACACCCACAAGTTCAGCTGCTAAAACGCCTTTGAAGATCTTCCTCGCCAGCGGCTCCATGGTTCGAGCCATCCTGAGGCCTGCGCACCCCGACCGACTTTCTAACTCTTAAGATGTATCTATCACAATGAGTCGAAATCCACCTCCCAGTAATTTGCACCTACTGCTCTTATTTTTGCCCTTTACAGCAATGGAATTTTATCTTCATTTTCTCTTAAGACTCCACTTCATGTTGAAAATACTTCTTGTGCTCTCAAGCTAAATATAATCTCTCCGTTTTGGAAGGCCTAGTGAATATTAAACGAATCCATTTTTTTTATGTTATGCTTCACCTTATTCTGCAGCATACTTGAAGTGAATTCTAGCAGAGCATATAAAATAGTGGTCAAATATAAACAAAGGAAAAGGAGGAAATAGTACGAGTAGAATGTAAAGTATGAAACAATAACACACAAGTATGCATTAGCTGGGACCTCAACCTTCAGTTTGACTTTGAAAACAAAAAGGAATAAGATATTTAAATAATAAATAATAGGGAAACAGTTTTCTGTCTTTATCTAAAAATGCACCTCCCCCCTGAAGTGGATCTTCATCTCAGGAGGCTTGTGTGTTATGAGGCTCTTATCTATATTTACTGACAGACACCTTATTAACATGTTCCTGATTTTTAATCAGAGTAACTCAACTAGGGTTGTTTTAAAATATTTTGTAACTATGCTGTGTTATCCATTGTAAGTTTATATTCAAAATAACCCATGTTTTATTTGATTTCTTAAATGAATTTATATGAAACTAAATTTCTCAGATCACAATACCCTCAGGTCCTCATAGAATATGTTATATAGCCTCAGAGAACAACATCTTATTAGGTTTTCAAGTTTTATTCCATAACTTATAAAAAGGATTCTCTGTTCTGTCTAGATTTTGTTATAGGGTGTTTGTTTGTAGACATGGTTGTATGTAGCTTACTGTCCTCCAAGCTATGTAGCTAATGATGGCCTTGAACTCTTGATCCTGCTGCCTCTACTTTCCAGATGCTGGGACTACAGGTGTACGTCCTCATGATGAGCTTTTTCCTAGATTTTTGTATTACCAAAATTAGTACTATATTACTTATCTTCAGCAGTGTCAAGGAGGAGAATGCTACTGAAGGCCTTGGGACTCCGAAGATCCCAGCTGGACCTGACCTGATCCAGGAAAGCGCTAGCTTTCATAATACCTGAAGATGCTATGCAAGCTGCCCAGGGAGGAAGCCATCAGCAGTCTACCTGGCTGACGCCTCTGAACCACAGCACTGCCATGTGGGTGGCGAGCTGTCCCTGATGATGCCCTAGAGACACTCATATCTTGGCAATACTAAGAGTGGTCTAATGGGACTTAAGGTCCATTCACCAAGAGGGAACTCATGCCTGGTAATGGAAGCCTAGCCATCTACATGGAGCTGTTGATGTCATGAATCATAGAGCAGAACCTACTGCTGCCAGTTTATTAGACCAGCGTAATTCCTAACCGCTTCTAAATACTTATCCTTATACCCATAGATAAGTGTATTCTCTTACCCCTCATTAAAGAAGCTTCCCTGTGTGGTAGATAGAGACCATTACAGAAACACACAATTGGTCAAAATATAGACTGATCTTGAGTGCTTGGCCCTAAATGAAACATCAACATCACAACTCCTTTGCCTAGGCTCAGAAGACATCAAGGAAGAGTGGGTAGAGACAGAGGGTCAGGGAATCTGCTATGGAATAGTATCTCCTAGAAATGACTGAGAAGCTACCCTCATGATACCTCAGCACTATGGCTGCCTAACAAGATCTGAACAAAGGTACCACCAATAGACTTGCTAACATCAGAGAGAGGAAATCTCACAGGACTCCACTGCTACACAAAGAACTACGGGCAACTAATGACTGCTGAGAGGAGAGAGGGAGTCAGTTTTTCCCAGGATGAACTCCCTACTTGGTTATTCTATACAAAGTGGTCAGAACTAAAATCATATCTACACATGCAATGCTAAACAGACTTGGCAGGCTGTGTGTGTGTGTGTGTGTGTGTGTGTAACAATAATAAAGGAAAAGAGGTTATCAGTTTGAGAGGGAGTGAGGGGGACATGGGGAGAATTCTAAGAGAAGAGGGTAAATGATGTAATTATATTTTAGTTTAATTTTTTTAATTTATGAAAACATTTAATTTAAAATACCATGATCTTTGGAGATCTGCCACCCCTTGGTAACCTATAAAAGCCACATAGAAGCCTCAGTGTCAAACACAGATACAAGTACATGCATGCGCATAGGTGGGTGCGCACATGCACACACATGAATGTGTGCACATCATGGGCTGACCTATTTTTAAAGAAAATTCTTAAAAACTACAATAGAAAAGTAGCACAGCATTCTTTGCCTGGGGCACATTGGCTGGAATACAAAGGAAGTTGTCCTGGAGAGTGAGGTTCTTCATACAGATGACAAAAGTATTCAGGACACCACTGTTTCCAAGTTTAACTTCCTTGTTGAAATTCACTTCACAGGACCAAAAAAAAAGAAGAGGGAAATTCTTAATTTTCAGTAAAGTAATAAAATTGTTGGAAAATATTCTGTAATAGATATTTCAGAGAATTATAAATATTTCTAGTGGCAGAAATTTTCTAGAGGGCTAAATTTATCATGAGTTATTTATTTTGTTTCTGGTTTTTTGGATTTTGTTTTTGTTTTTGAGACAGGGTCTCTCTCCGGGAACTCATTAAGTAGACTAGGGTGGCCTCAAACACAAAGAGACCTGCTGCTTTGGGCTTCCTGAGATTAAAGGCATGCTCTACCACACTCAGCTATCTCTAAATCTTAACTGCTTGTGTCCTTGAATCTCTTGTCTTCCTGCGAAACCAGCCCTAAACCTGAATTATACTGACGAGAAGCACTGGCCAGCTCCTCACAAGCAATATGCCTGCATATGTTGTACATTTCAAAATCAAAGTTTTCTATGTGGAGCACAAAAACACATCCAAACCATAGAAGTTTGGTATTAACATGTTCCTGATTTTACTGATAAAATTGAAAACTTCCTAGTGTTATAAAAATGGACTTTAACCTCTGGCTCCATATTTTACTGACATTATTTGGTCTTATTTCTCTGTGGTTCGTAAATTTGATGTGCACAGTGTATAAGCTGATACCTGTTTCAATACTTACAGTCATTCGCAGTATGTCAGCAGAAGACATGGACTGTAACTGTGATAATTGTGTTCATTGGTGAGATAGGAAAGAGTAAAACCACGGAAGGAATACTACTTCAGAAATTGCCATGCTTGGTCCTAATTTTAGACCCAAGAACAGTTTCCTAACTAATCTTGTTTCCATTCTAGACGTGAGACTGTTTTAAGATATTTCAAGGTAACATCTAATTCTAGAGTTCCATGATTCTAAGCTAACAGCTGTTAAGCCAGGAGTGTTCCACACTATGGTTATACTTGGTAAAATAACAGCCTGCTTGTGTAGGTCACCTTTCTCACTGCTGTGACAAAGTACTTGATACAAGAGACTGAAGGAAGTGAGGGTTTAGTTTCGCTCATTTGAGTCACATTTTCCACCAATCAGGATCCAGGGAGAGGGGACTTTCCCAGGAACATTTCTTCATGGTACATATCCTGTTCCCATTGGTTGATTTATTCAACTGTGGCTGCCTGGCTTGCCCTGCATTCATGACATCTCAACTTGTCAATCAGGATGTCATTCCCCAGGGAGGTCTTGGGAACTTAAACTTTGACTCCTATTCAAAATGGAAGTTTTTTTTTTTTTTTTTTTTTTTGGTTTTTCGAGACAGGGTTTCTCTGTGTAGCTTTGCGCCTTTCCTGGAACTCGCTTTGGAGACCAGGCTGGCCTCGAACTCACAGAGATCCGCCTGGCTCTGCCTCCCGAGTGCTGGGATTAAAGGCGTGCGCCACCACCGCCCGGCCCAAAATGGAAGTTTTACTCAAAATGATTTCAGTTGGGTTCCTTCTTACAATGTCCAGGACAAATTTCCTTCTAGTCGTTTCTGTCAGTTACTTTACTACAGCAGCAGAACAGGTGGCAGCAGCAAGGACAAAAGAATCCTGACACATAAGTTTTCATGTTTTCAAGTTTTTAGACACAACTGAGTTGAAAACCCACATTAACACTTGATGTGTATATTGTCTTTTTTCCTATCCCCATTGAAATCTCCTTCCTGAAATCTATGTGAAAACTTCATAGCAAAAGAGCTGCTTTGAAAGTGTTTTTTGTTGGGCGGTGGTGGCGCACGCCTTTAATCCTAGCACTTGGGAGGTAGAGGCAGGCGGATCTCTGTGAGTTCGAGGCCAATCTGGGCTACAAAGTGAGTTCCAGGAAAGGTGCAGAGCTACACAGAGAAACCCTGTCTCAAAAAACCAAAAAAATAAATAAAATAAAAAAAGAGTGTTTTTCATGAATTGGAGAGGAAGCTTTTTGCAATCAGTTGATGCTATGTTCCTATCTTTCTACATATTAAGAGTAAAGAATCTATCACTCAAATAACTACAGTCCATCCTCACATTTGGCTTTATGTTCTAAGTTGGTATCAAACCTGAGGACTGCTCCCTATCAAGGATGGACATAGGCAGTGCATAAGGCAGTTTGTTTCTGGTTAACACAAACCCTCTCCACAGGAGCCTCCGAAACTTTTCTGGGTGTTGCTGAAGTGGTAGGCAGTCTAGGAAACCTGTGGCCTTCCACTAGAGTTCTAATGGTTCTTTGGGGTTTTCTTGGCTCAGTCCCCATTTTCTGTCATGTAAACATTTTTCCTAAGAAAATTACTTTACGTTTGATCCCATCTTGGCAACAGCTTCTGAAGGATCTAGACAAACACATTTTGCTAGTGAGTAACAAGTCCAGTAAAAAGAAAAGAAGAGGAAGGAGCAAAAAGTTAATGTGTATTGTTCAACAAGTGTGGTCAGGAATGGTCTGAGGAGCAAGTATTTAAGCCTATAGTTTGAGAAAATGATGATTTACACAGTAAAATATATTGCTTCGCGGATTTGTGATAGACCAGCATGTAAACTTCTTACTCTAAATATGACAGTTTTAAGTACAA